ATTTGGACGAACACTCAGTTCAAAACCGAGCGCAATTTGGACGAACGCTCAGTGTGAGACCGAGCGCCTGTTAGAGGGAGCGTTCAATAAAAGCCTGAACACCACTTGGACAAACGTTCAGTATAAGACTAGGACGCCGTTCAATATAAGATTAGGACGACGTTGAATAGAGATTAGGACCTGAACGTCATAGGAGGATAGGACGAAGTCCAATGTAAATCTATGGGAACGAACGCTCAAGCATAGTTTTAGATTAAGAGGACGCTCCTCCAAAACAAGAATAAAAACGAACGGTCAATGACTGTTCAGTACAGATGGATTTTCATAGGGAAAATTCTTACAAAAACCATTTTTTCAGTTTGTTCTCATTTATACAAGTTCATAAATTCATGTATGTCATGGTTTAAATTACAATTTCATATAATCCATATCATCCAAATCTCATATATTTCATACAACATACGTAAACTTAGTCATATATCATTTTTCACTCAGTAAATAACGAACGTTCATGCAACTCAAATAACAGCACATCATGCAATATATTCATACAGTATATTAACGAACGTTTCAAACGAAGCACACACATGAATTAAATCAAAATAAGCTTCCCTTACCCGGAAATGAACATACGTTCACAGGCGCACACAGACACTCTCTACTCAAATCCTGATCACCAACGCTCGTTAAATCCACTATATGAACGAACGCTCAGAAACCCACCTATATTTGGTCATATACTGTAAGGACGAACGCATTAGCGAAAGCATGAGCGAACGCTCGTCAGGCTAAAGAAAAACGAGCGTTCAAATCGAAGTGGGGAACGTTCAATTCGTCTATGTTTTGGACGAACGTCCAATTTGAAACCGAATTGGACGAACGCGATTCTGCAGATTCTGCAGAATCACAGGTTTTCCAGAAAACCAAAAAACCTCCATTTTTTAACTCTAAAGCGTTTAGATTCTACAAAACAGTTAAGATTAACTAATCAAAACGAAAAATCTAGCACCCCTTACCTCTGAAGACTTCCTTGAATTATCCCAAAGGGTTTGATACTCCTTCCAACTTAAAAGTTCTCCACCTTCTCATCTTTCCCAGAACTTGCGCCCACTCTTCCACTCCTCCAGTGCAGCACCAAAGCCTCCTTGCACTTCAGGCAGCTCCCCACCTCACCTTCTCTCAGTTTTGCAGAATGATTTCCACCCCCATACTCCCTTTTTATTTCTTTTTCTTGTTTTTGAATGGGGAATGGAAGCAAGTTTGCTGTCCCTTATGGCCAGCAAACTGGCGCTTTCCAGCGCTCGTTCCTTCCTTCCCCGTTTGTTTTGTTTTTCTTTTTTTTTTTTTTTTTTTTTTTTTTTTTTTTTTTAAATTACGATTCCTTACATTACTTAATCTAGTTCACGAAGATAAGAATTTCTAATAGGGAAAACTTTTTACTTTTAAAACTTTAATTAACTACTTGCGCTCCATGAAAAAATAAGTTAGACAAACGTTAATTAAGATAAGCAAAGAGGGAGCAACTTAATATTTGAGATATAATAATCAAAATAAAACTCACAAATATTTTTATTTAATCAAAATTATACCAAAATAAATACTGGAGCTCTTGATTAGTTAATATATATATTATATATATATATATATATATTATATATATAATATAATATATTTATATATATATATGTGGAAAAGGATTAGGGAAACAAAAACTTCCCTTCCCTAACCTTGTATTCAAACAAAATATAAAAGAAAATAAATAAATAAATAAAGATACATATTTATTTTTGTTTTAGTATCACATCATCACTCTTGTTTTAATAAATTTCTTTCCAAATTTCGAATAAACTGGCAGGCTTCTCGAATTACACCAAATTCAATTCACCACGGCACCAATGAATTTAACCTATAATCACCTAATCAAGCCACAGAAGTATATAAACCTTGCGCCGGTTCAAGTTCTGAATTAGAAATACATGAACCATTGCACCAGTTCAAGTTCTGAATTAGTTGAACAAAAAGAATCTTATGCCAATTAGACAATCAAGTTAGCTGCATCCAATAGAATTCGCTTTGCACCAACTAAACAAACAATTCCATGATGATCTAATTTGCTGCACTGCCATTGAATTCTTTAGTTATTCCATTCAATCTAACCACATCAAAATCAATGGCATTAGGCACCGTACAACAACACCAATGAATTACCACAATTGCTTAAAGAATCAAATCGAATTTCTCCTCCTCCTGCTTGCTGAATTTTCTTAGCAATTGAATTCTCTATTTCAATCATTATATGGCACCAAAATTATGGAATTGATTTGAATAAAAAATCAATCAATAACTGTACCGCTCAAGTTCAGTTAATAATCACGAGCCAACTGCTTCTTATTAGGAGCTAGATCGATGATAGAAAAAGCCACCGTCAGTTCAATTTAACTGCACTGCGCTTGTTAAACGCTTGATAAAACGTCCGGAGCACAACAATCACAAAACTGCATCCGCTGGCTCAGATCAATTGTCTCTACTGTTGTGGAATTTAAATGCATTGAACGTACTCACTTGTTTTGATTCAAACTGCGGTTTCTGAATTAATTCAATCACAGAAAATATCAACTGCTTGCTTCCAAAACACTCGAGCAACGAAGCAGACTTTGGATCAATTGCTTCATACAAAATGCTCCAACTCATGCTTGATCAATTGAACTGCTGCTTGACAAATTCGTCTGAACAAAACGATTGAAACAGATGATAAAGCATAGATTCGCTTACATTCGACGCAGAGTCAAATTCCAAATATTGGACGAAATGCTTCAGTGACACCTGATTGATTCTTGAACTGAACGTAAATTTCAGCGTCACCTCCAGAATTCCGCTTGTTAATTGCACCGAGCAATTCATGTTGTCTTCACTCGAAACAGCTACTGCTTTGCGGATTCAGGTTCCAATTTAGTTTAATTATTGCACTGAAAAATACCGAATCAATTGCAATTGACAAGAGCAGCACTGCATTTGAAATGTCAAAGGCTCTGATAATTGAATTCACCGTAAGTGTGATTACTCCACCTGTAACTGGCCACCATCGCTAGGAGATCTTCAATTCAAATTATTTGCTAATTCAAATTCCAAATCCAAAAACGCACCACAACACTTTCACCACATGCGCCAGTTTCAGTTTGCACTTTACATGAATTAAAATTCAATTACAATTGATTAGAAAACACCAAATTCAATTCTGTTCACCTCTGCACGTGAATCCGTTCTGCCTCTACGAATCACGTGAATTCAATCCATCGTCGCTTAATCAACGAATGCGGTCCTTCAATGAAAGACGCCTACCATTTACCAATCACCGAACAAACATCACAGAATGTTACAGAAATGTTGGATCTGTCATCAAAATGTTGGATCTAAGCTTCGATAACCAAATACGAATATTCGACTTGTGTTTAGATTGAGATTAGAACCTGTTAGGGATTTTGATTCAATTTTCTATCACAAACTAACAATGGAAACTCTGAATTTTGATCCAGAAATTATGGAAGCTTACTACTGAGAACAAATTAAATCCAAGAAGATTACTTGAATGTGAAGATTTACTTCTAAGAGATGAGACAGAATTAAACACATTTCAGTAGGTAAACAAAACATGTTAGAAGACATTATTTGACGAAAACATGAAGCGAATGATAACAAGACAATAAGTTCAAGACAGAGAACAAAGAAGAAAAGATGGAGAAACTTATAATAAGAATGCAAGAGTCTTATATTAGAACCAAACATAAAAACTAATACCAGGAACAACTAATCTTTTCTTGCCAATATAAAAAATACACATTTATTTTATTTTCAGCATCACATCACCATCACGCTCAATTCACCAACCAACACAATCTTGATCAAACACACAATTAAAAGGAGATAAATAAAAACAAGGTATAGAATAAAAATCATGGCACACTAATTTTGTAATGGTTTTTCTCATAACATCGTTTATCACATTCCAAATTTCTTTGTTTCTCTCTTAATGGTACATTAAACATTCTCCTTATTCTTTTTCTCTAAAATAATAGTGGAGGCAATGAGACATTACCATGTTAAAATGAGAGAAGCCATTGAGAATTGTCTATTGGTAGAAGTTTTATCAGCCTCTTGTTGAGAACAAAGGCAACTGAAGCCACCAACCAAATTCGCTATAACATGAGTAAATGCCAAAAGCACTGCTGCAGCCAACCCCAGCACGAGGCCTTGTGGCTTGGATCTTTACTCTCAAATATCCAAAATCTCAACTACTTAAGCTGGTTAATTGGTAATCAACTAAAACAACTATTGCATCTTAATAGAAATTTCAAAAGAAAAAAAAAATAAAAATTTTTGAATGTACTTATAGAATTAGCTTCAAGCATGCCTTAGTTTTGTGCAATTTCAGCTTCAATGCATAGAATCACAGCTGTGACATCCATGACCTTAAGCAAGAAGCACAAAAAAATGTCTCACCACTTACATAATCTTTCCTGTGTAGTTTAATTCAGTGTTAGCATTCTCATGCAGGTCCTTACTGGAGGCTGGAGTACCTTTAAGCTAATTGCAGGGAAAAAAGCACTTGCAAGATATGACACTGAAGCTTATAACCAAATGCTTCAAAGTGCTAGACGGAATCCAAGACCTAAATTGTATGGCGTCACACAAGTCCGTTTATCAACTGAGTTAAAGCAACAAACAACACACTCTGGCAAGCAACATTACTGCATTTAATCAATGTCGTTCGAAGTGTAAAATCAAAGAGTTATATACCTTATTGCGAAAAACATACAGGGTTACAGAAAAAGTACTCCCACTTTCACATCATCCCAATACCAAAAGAAAAACATCAATAAAGTAATAACCCAATCACCCAACAAAATTATGAAAAAAAGAGAGTAAGAGTAATAAGAATCACTCAGATCCGATACCAATTTTCCTTTTCCTTTTCCTTTTGGACCCAATTGTCATCTGAAAAGCTACACAAAAACATGCACAGGAGCTTGTGCCACCAGCGCCGACCCTGGTGTAGGTGTATTAATAGGTGGCCCCGCCACACTTGGAGGATTTGGAGGGGCAGATTCCTCCGGCGGAGGTGGCGGCGGTGGCGGCGACTGCTGCATTGGCGGCGGCGGCGGCGAAGATGGGTTGGGGTCGGAAGGAGGAGGAGGGGTTGGATTTGTAACCGGAATGGTTGGTGGGGTAGGGGGGTATTGAAAGGAGGGAGGTGGGGTTGGTGGATTGAAATTGGGGGCGGAGATTGCATGTGGAGGTAGACGTGAGCAAGACCCATCAGAACATTCATTTGCAGTTGTGTGGTGGCGGCGGCGTAGGATCCCCAATCCCAAAACCAGACCCAGAACAACGAGCACCGTGACTATGAAAATGAAGATCTTTGTTGCTTTCCCCACGTAGCACATTGTCTTGTTCTTTTTTCTCTGCAGCTTGGAAAACAGATTTCGTAAATGTCGAAGATTGTGGGGCTTTGTCTGTGTGTCCTACCCTGAAACTTGATTTCCTTTTCAGTACAAGTTCTTCTCCCAGTATTCGTTCATCTGCTTCAGTGTGTGGGTCTTCTGCTTTCTTTTTCGTCTTTTTCCATTGTTGCGTTCTTCTATGCTCTTTCCATGCTCCCTACAATGCACCTGCCCTTTCCTTAACGGCTAGAAACACAGTAATTCACGTTACGAGAGGTGCATAAACCTATAATTTTAAATGTTAATAGCTTAAATCAGAGATTAAAGACCAAACAGCTTTTATTATACTCCAAGGTTAGATTATTCTTAAATTAAATAATAGCATGTAATAACCGATTTTCTGGTCAACTAATCTTCTGAAAAAAACTGCCATGAACAACTCTGATATACACACACATACTCCATCTAGCTAAACATTATGATCATGGTTGCACAAACTTTATGCAGGTGTATGGGACGTCAAAGAAGACTCTTTCGTATTTAAATTTAAATTCAATTTATATCCATTAATTTATTAAAATCTTAAAATGTGTAATATATAATATATAAAGACAGTGGACAAGAATATAGAAAATCCACCTATATTAATGGTAACAAACTGCTTCAACTACCACCAATAATAAAGCCAAAAAAAATCATCAAGAGAAGTAATAATATTAACTATCATGTTAACATATATGATTATAAAATAGAAGTTAAATTGATTATTTTAGAACATTTAAAAAAATGAAAAATGATTACACTTTTAACTTCATAACTTTATATATAATCATAATTAATTACAAGGTGAATATTTCTATAATGATATTTCTCTATTCTATGAATAGATTTACTTATATCATTCATTAAATTAGATTACTGTTGTTTTGATAAGTTTTTGGACTGTATAAGTAAAGGTCTTTAGAAAGTAAATAAACTACAGATGTGAATAATACTTAAAAGGATATATAAGAATAAAATATCAATTTATATTAGTGAAGACTCAATTTATTTTAATGTCGAAGTTAAGAATAATTACAATGGAATATGGAATAATGTATCTTCAAATAGTTGCGTAAGGATGATAATAAATGTTTAAAAAAATTAATTGATTTTATTTGTAAAAAATTAAACATTATTAAGGTCTCATATCACGTAGGATATTTTCTTACCAACACTTAATCTTTATATTAATATCTTTTATCATGTGTAACAAAACTTTTTCACTTGTTATAGACTTTTTATCGTATTAAATCTTAACTATATTATGGCCTTTTACATTATAAGTTTATCATTAACATAATTCATGATTTTGTTAATATTTTTAATATAGAACAAGACCTCAACCTAACTATGGTTAAAATAGAAGTCAATTACAATTTTAAATGAGAAATTTTCACAATACTTGTATCAAAACTTCTTACATTCATTATAAAATTTTATCTATTTGAAACTAAAATCTAACTTCTCTTTATAATTTTAATGTTAAAATACCAATTTAGTTTTTTAGTTTGTTTTAGTTTATTTAATATTAATATTTTTTAATAAGATTTTATTTTTGATTAATTTTGTTCAGTTTAGTTTTATTTTCTAATCTTATTTGTGACAAGTCAATTTGGTTTTTTAAATTTTAAAAAAATATTCACGTGTTAAACTAGTAGTACCATGTGTTGGGGTCAATAACACGTAAGTATTAGGTGTTATATCCGTTATTTTTGTTCAAGTTAGTCATAATTTTTTTAAAAGTTAAGCAATTTTATCTTGTTATAAATTTAGACCAAATTAAAGTTTTTGATTAAAATAATATTTTGATTTCTCACATCTTATTATTTTCAAATTTCTTTTATGTATTCTCTCAAAGTTTAACAACATATACTACCGTATCAAAATCAAAACCCTATAAAACGTTAACTTGTTTATAATTTCTCGTCACGCTTTTTTTTTTCTTAAAAAAAAATAATTGAGTTAAAGGAGTAAGATTTTGATAAACAATGTGAACTATAAAGATTTGATACATACACATAATGATTGTTTTTTACTAAGTGTTATTTTAAACTTTGACTAAATGTTATTTTAACCATTTATATGTCTTGAGACTATAAATGGTGAGTAACTTTTAAAACCCAAAGTGGAATCCAAGAACTTGTGCCACAAAGTAATATATTTCGACTTCAGCCCCAATATTTAAAAAAAAATGAACAAATGTTTAATTGATGTATATTCTAAGTTTTAATCATCCAATATACTAGGTAATTACTTTAATTAATAAGAATTAATTTGTATTTTTTTAATCTCTCATCATGATTAATAAGTATGAACTTTCAANAATTGATGTTACTATGATAAGAGTGGAAATTAGAATCATGGGAAATTATCCAAAACCAAACTTTATTTGTCACAAATTTTGTTTTCAATTTTATGTTTTCTCTTTATTTTTATTACTGTGTCATTATCACACGATGCATTTTCTTTAAGTTGATTTCATTCTCACAGTTTGTTTAACATTTTATCTATGTTTATGATTTTTCTAGAATTCTGTTTTATGCAAATGTTTTGACGTGTTTATTTCCTTTCATTTTGAATCAACGCGTTAAGATAAAATATATACCATCTAATAAAAACAAATTAAAAGATAATAGCTAGAAATTAGAACAAAACAAAATAAAATAGTTTATAGAAGCTAATTCAAATTTTAAAAGAAGTATGATTGAGTTCAAATTATATATATATATATATATATATTCACACATATGTATCATGATAAAATATTTATAAAGTCATTTTCCTCGTATTTATTGATTTAACATGTGATAAATTCTTTATAAATTCATCAAGTATAGATTTTCAACTGATGGATTGGTACAATAGGTAAGTATCTACCGAAAGTTAGATCAAAATATATACAATTTAATACAAATGAAAAAATAAGTTGAAAATTCGAAAAAGTTTGTTTTGTATTCATATGACTTTTGAGAAAAAAAAATACGTATTTATTACCTTTAATATGATCTCATGATATGATCAATAACCTTTTAAAAATAGACTTTTACTATAAAATGTTAATATTTATTCATAACTTCTCATGGTAACAAAGTCACACTAAGTTTAAAACTACCATATCATCTCACGAATAATTTTGGAAATATTGGGAAAATATCTTTTTCGAAACAAAAAAAAATTCAAGAAATTGATAAGACCAAAGGTAAAATGTATCTAATCGTGTACCACAATAAGAATAGTTATTATTAATACAATACTTATAATTAGCAATTTTTTTAAAAAAAGTTTGAATTTATAAATTTGTTGTTCCTAAACTTAAACAAAAGAAAACACGTTAATAATTTTATTAAATGATTAAAGAAGCTATTTTCACAAGGATCACGGGGATATAATGAAATTGAGATGAAAATATGTTTTGGACTATCTGTATTTAGGGAACTTTTGTCCAATCTTTTTCCATTTTATTAATATTGGGATACGATCACGTTTCTAAACACAGTAAAAAAAATCGAATAAAATTGATATAATAATATCATTTATAATATTTTGGAATTCGTTAAACGCGTTTTTCAACCTATACAACATTCGTTCCGTTCAGTGTCCAAAAACAGTACTAAATTGAGACTTTTATGTTTATCTTTTCGTACATTAATGTCCAATTTTGAGAACATAATTTGTAATGAAATGAGGTTTAATGGTCATCTTATATTCAATGGCTTAATATATATATATATATATATATATATATATATATATATATATATATATATATATATATATATAATAACGAAACAGCGATTTGAAAATTTTAGAAATATTTATTAATTTTTAAATATGAATTTTGATATTATTATAATGAAGTTGCGAAGTAGGTGTGTAGACGATTGGAGTAACAGAGATATGGTATTGCTGGGAAATTGAAGAGAGAGGAAGTAGGAAAATGTGTAAAAGACTATGAATGTAAAATAGCAGTAATAAGAGGTAGAAAACATCGAAGACTTAGTTGATGGTATCTTAGTGTGGTGAAGTTAAGTGCATTAAAGGGAAGAAGAAAGCGTGGAGAAATGAAGGCAGAAGCTAAGCTTAGTTGAAAATAGCTTTGGAGGAAACGTGGTTATGGTGGTGGTGCCTCCTATCTGATAATTTTCTGAGGAGAGACAACTGTTCGAGAGAGAAGACACAAAAACCTTGAGAATATAGCATGGTCTGTGCCACGGGTGAGTTAACCAGTACCTGCAGTAGCTGGGAGCGATTCAGTTTCTCCAGATCCACGAATACTGCTGAGTTTTGGCGGAAGGAAGGCGAGGAAGAAGACGAATGGGAGGGCATCGACTGTAGCACGCGGAACTGCGCCTGAAGAAACCTCACGTACTTGTACGCTTCCTCCAGGAGCGTGCCTTGGTCCATTTTCTTGTCCCACGGCATCAGTTTCTGCAGGCACCGGGTTTTCTCGCTCAGCTTCTGTCTGCGTTGCCGAGCCAGGTTGCTCTGCGGGATCACCGGGGACTCCAAACGCTGCCGTTTCGGCTGGGGCTGCTCCGGGGAGCGGAGCTGCGGGAGGCGGAGAAAGGGGGTTGGATGGTATTGGGGGAAGAATTTGAAAGGTTGAGAGGGTTCGGTTTTAGGGACAAGGATTTTTGGAGGCTCTGCGGTTTGCGGGATTAAGGTTGGGTCGTCGGTTAGGGAAGCCAAGGTGGGGAAGCCGTCCGCGAAAAGGGAAGGGTTGAGAGAGAGGAGTGACTGTAGACTGGTGCCGGAAAACATGGGGTCCAAGGAGGAGCCGTCGCCGGAATACATTATTTGCAGAGAGAATGAGAGTGGTAGAAGTGAGAATAAGGAAAATGGGGATATATAATGGTATATATATGTATATATATAATAGGTTGGTGACGGTGAGAGAGAAGAGAAGAAAGGAGTTAATTATGGATAATTAATGTAGCCATAAACAATACTGTATAGTATTC